ATCATTCAGTTTTGGGGAGGTAAAGCCACCACCACAAGATAGGAGAAGTGTGGATTGTTGAAAGTAGCTAGAAGCCCACCAGAATTTTAAAGCTAGCACAGTTTTATTGTGTTTTTCTCCAATAAAACATTTTAATTCACCAATGGGGATAGTATATTTTAGAGTTGCAGTGATGGACATACCAACCATGCAGTGACCTGCTAAGACCTAACCAAGGTGGGGTTAAGGAAAAAACGTACAAGACTATGGGAAGTAAAATGTTCCTTGTTCAAATTCAGAGGATAAGTTTCATTAACATTCTCTTTAACATTAAGCCCTCTCTCCATAGTTATCAACCCTCACTCCCTAGTCATGCAGGATCTGGTTCTATATTACAGGCCTGCAGCAAAGGAAGCAAAGCAAGAGAGCAAGCAAGAGTGGGAGACAAAATTAGTATTTATTTTTTACTCTCCTGAATAATCAAGTATTTCCATATGCCACACAGCAAATGAAACCTGGTTTCCAACTCATTTTCATCTCACGGTGGGATCCTCTGGTGGTGCCAATTCTGATTAAAACTTCTCATGAGGTTGGGACACATAATATAGTTCTCCTGCGCAGATTCTTTTATGCCTAACATGGCTTGGGTTGATGGTATACATTTTCTTCCTTATAAGGCTGTAGGTTTTCCCTCTGCTATATGCAACCGTCTGTTTTCATGAAATATGTAGGGACCCAGTTTGTTTAAAACCACTAGCTTTGAGTGAAACTGGGCTGAAAATGGCCAGGAGTTATTTGCAAAGGGAGGACAGACAGACATACAAGAGCACAAACATGCTCAGAGTATGACTGCATCACTGTAATTTCCATAGAAGCTAAAAATAAACAAACACAAAAGTCTGATTTCACTGCACAATGTCATCGTTAATTGTAAAAGTTCAGCTGGGCTAGAGACCGAGTTAACCACATTTTAATGCTAAGCATATCTGAAGACTCATGCTGCAGGCCCAAGGCAAGCGCCTGCTCAGAAAGTCGGCTCCACACCAGGCCCTGGATGCAGCCACAACAAACCATCCTCCTTTGCACAACCAGATCCCCAAATGGGGTGCAAAGACAGTGCACACGGTGGCCTAAGCGTGGAAAAGCAGAAAATGCAACCACCAGGGACACCTCCTCTTCAGAAATCACTGGCCATGTTACTGAAACACACGGACTTCCCAAATTCTGTCAGAAAGTGCACACATCCTCTTTCCAGATCTTGGCCACACACAAAAAAACCAAAAAAACAAAAAAAACAACCAAAACCATAAACTGAATGATTCTGTGAGGAATAATCTGGAGTCCGGGGTTCCTATGGCTCCGTTACATCCTCAACAATAGCTCAGCAACAGATGTTGTTGGTAGGAACTTGGCGTATATGCTGCAGAGGAATTTTCACTGAGGCAAACCAACTTCAGTATGAAGGATGTTTGAAACTCACGTTACTCATGTGTCGGAGGGGAAGAAAGGTGTCCACCACAGCTTCTACAAAACTGTAGTGGCTCGCAACTCCGCGGAGTGGATCCTGTTGCCTGGGAGTCTGGGGGGGCAGGGACAGCGTTAATTGTTTTTCTGTCCAAGGACTGTGGATGGCTTTGTAATCACTCAAACTGGATGGTGCCGCTCCTCAGGGGTGGAAGGGCTCTCCTTTCTGCCTGACTATTGGCCAACTGAAATCATTTTTGTTTGGGGAACAGGGAAGGGCCCCAGAGCTGTGACCTGTGAAACAGATCTGTGAATCTCTTGGCTTATAAATGCCAGTGGAGAGAGGCTGGGCCCATTATGACAGCTGCCTGTAAAAACCATGACCTGACACTGAACAAAACATCAACTCCTCTTAACAAAGGAATCGCTAGATTGCTGCTCAAAGAGAGGAAGTTCTCAAGTAGGTATTTTGTCATTTAAGTGACATTCTTCCTTTCTGAAGGCAGGCTTCATCACAGCATTTCCTACTATTGTTGCCTAGCATCTGGATTACCCCAGGGCGCTGGCGATACAGATTCTCCAAAAGCTTCAAGCACGTAATTAGATTGCTCCCTTAGTAAGCAGAATTTCCCAGAGGGGAAGCACATTGCACCACTGTTCCACAACTTGCCCAAGCTGCCAGCAACAGCCAAGAACAAAGCTGGTTCTTGAGTCGACAAGGATCTGCAAATTCATTTGGCCCATAACGCGGAGCAGCAGAAGTTTGGCAGGGCTCTGACGCAGGAGTTGCATGCATTTAATAACGAGCTCTGGATAGCAAAGTCCAAGAAGAGCTGGGCTGCAATTTGGCAGGAAAATGAGCCAACCTAGCAGCCTGGTGTTGCCAACAGGCTCCTGCCCCTTCCCTGGAATCGCTCGGTGTGGTGCTCATCCGACCAAGCCAGGTGACCAAGAAAGCTGACTCAGCTCCTAAACCCAGCAGACCACTCGCTTTTTTGCTGGCTTTGTTTAGTGACGCGGTTAGCAAGACAAACTGACCCACTCTTAAACTACGCGCGAGGTGAATGCTGGAGTTGGTGCAAGGCAGGCATTAATGGCATGTGCCCGTGGGGGAGGAAATGCAGGCGAAAAACAGATGAGCAGCCCCCTTTCAGCAGCAGCAAGCTGTTAAATTGCATTCAGCATCACACGAAACCCTCCCCTTGGGCCTTGCTCATTGCCAAGTTTGGGTTTGGGGTTTTTTTTTTTTTTTTTTTTGAATCGCAAAACCCTGCGGTGGGTGATATCTAATCTATTTGGGGACTCAGTGTGCGGTTCAAACTGATTTATTTTACAGGAGTTATGGATGATGGCAACCCACTGGGCAGATAACAGCCCAAACCATACCCTGGAGTATGATTCCAACACAGCCTAAGCTGCTCTAAATTTGGGCTACTGCTGCCTTATTCCCCTCCCTCCTCACTCACAGATTTCTTCCTTTCCTGCACGTTTCATCCTCTTGTCTTGCGTGGCATGGAATGAGAAGATGAACCAAGCTCAGGGAGCTGATCTAGCTAGAATCTAAGCTGTCAGGAAGGGATTTGTTTCTTCAGGAATCTGGTTCCTGAATCAGACCACTGCACAAGTCCATCTCATGCAAGGGGAGGGGTACAAACACTTAGCTGACGGCATGAACAAATACTTTGCCTTTTTAACAACCTTGTAGGTGTGTTTTCAACCTTAGGCACTAGGAACACAAGGGGAAAATTCACAAGGGACTCAGGCCGGATATTTTAACTCTAGGCAGGTACTCAAGGACTGTAATTCATGAGCTTGATTTAGGCATCTCTCTCCCCTTCCAGGAACAGAGGGAGTTAGGCACAAGTGCATCTTTTTCTGAGCAACAAAACCTCTAAATAAGGGAGAACAGCATCCGTTGAAACCAGCCAGTGGGAAATGAGAAGAGGAGAGGTGAGATTCTTCCTCTTCTCACATTTAGACTTCTGCATGTGTGAGACTGGAACACACCTTGAGCCCTCCTTCCTTTCATTCGTTTCTAGATTTAGGTAACTAGCTCTTGCTCTGGGGAACAAATGTGTCTTGCTGAAAAATGGCCTCCAAGGAGAAATATGTAATAGTTTGCATGTCCACCCAAAAGAAAAAGAGATCAGTGTTCTCCTCAGGGGGACGGTGTTCAGACCTGCAGCTCCCTTCTTCTCAAAGGGGAGTTTCTTACGCCGAAGCTAGAAGGCTGAGCTGCATGAGCCTTCCCTCCCGCAGCAGAGACCACTGGACAAAAAAGCACTGAAGAATCACAAAGCCAGGAAAAGCACAAGCAATAATAGGAAGCCCAGCTCTGCACCTTAATTATAGAGGTGCTCCCCTGAGAGATGGAGGTCCTGGGCGCCAGTCCTTGATTCCAGCATAATTACTTTTTTTTTTATCCAGTAATTCCTTAAAGCAAAACACGTAGGCAAATCCAGGGGCAGGGCTATAGGGAAGGTATTAATTCTCCTTACCAATTCATTTGATTTTTCAAAACACAAGACATTTGTACAGTGGCTAATAACACGCTCTAAATGCCCAACAGCTCCAAGCAGGAAAGAGAATGAAGGCTTTGTTATTCTAGGAAAATAGATGTGTATTTTTACTGTAGTCATAACAAAGGAGGCTTCAAGCATTCCTCTGCATGCCAGTTGAGTTGTTTTTCTCATCACAGATATTCATCTCCCTGCAGTCTGTAACGTCTTTCTGTGTTCATATGTAATGTGTTCTGACAGTTTTTTTACAGTTAAAATTTGGTGTTTCAAGAAATCCATTCACAGTCTGCCTCTGAATATAGCACGTGAAGTTACTTTAGCTTCCGCATCACTTTCCAGTTTATTTTCAGCAAACTTCGGTTAGCGTATTCCCGTGAATATGTGTGAAACTTCAAATTGGAAAGGGCTGGTTTCAATTCTCCTTCTGTTAATAGGAGTTTGTCATCTCTCCAAAAGATAGAGACAATGGGCTTTGACTGAGGGTTAGATTTCCTTCCGACATACTGTTCCTTCTGGAAAGTCAGTGCACGCCAGGTCTTTGGGAGGGAACCCATGATGTTGTTGTTCCACCAGGAGGTAGGATTGCCAGAGATCAGTCTGAAACTGGGGACATTGCATGGCTTCTCCAGCTAGCCCTCCTCTGATGTTCAGATGTTGAAACAAACCACAGCATTCGGTTTTGATAAAAACAAGCCTTGAGGTAATCGGGCACATGGGATTAACAGCAAATACTTGTATGAGGACTGCAGCGAACAGACACTAAAATCATGCAAAAAAAAAAAAAATCAAAACTAAAGTCTCTCTGCAAGAGTTTGAAGGTTTAAAGATTTTTAAGTTTGGAGGGCAGAATTCATCAAAGGCTGAAACCTCCTTCTAACTGCTTATGTCAGAATAGGATTTCTGTATTATTTCCTTGCATAAATCGTCTTAAAAACCTGTATCGAGTCCTCCTCTTGTTTACAAAACTCCATAGCATTAGACTACTACTTATAAAAGCACTATTCTCTCCTTCAAATTCTGCATTTCTTGTTTTTTCAGCACCTGTGTTCAGGCCAGGAAGAGGAGCTGGGTGAGAAGGCACATTATGCACTGAAGATTTTATCTCTGCAAAATCCGGCGTGATCCTCTCTTGTGAGGCTGCACCTTGGTACCTGGCTTGTGTGCTCTGGTGAGAGAGAGGCAACTGTTTGTCTAAGAAGATACAGAACCAAAGGCATGTACGAATTCACAAGACAGGAGTTTTATGTGGGTCCCGAAGGAGCAAGGGACACGGCTGCACGGCATCTGATAGCCTGAGAGAAGTAGAAAGCCCATACTGTGAACGTGCCAGAGGGATAGGATAGCCTTTTCACAGAGACAAAAGCAAGGTTGTTGATGAAATACCTGCGTTTTGTGAAAAATAAATTTTAAAACTGCATTCCAAGACATGTGGTGTGAGTTAACAGACAAGGCCTTAAGTCTCTAAAACAACACAGGGCACGTGGCGACACGCAGAATGCAGGTCTGGAATACCTGACAGCGTGCTCCTTGCTTGGGGGTCTGGATTACCTGACCGTGTGCTCCTTGCTTGGGGGTCTGGAAGAATGTGTTATGGTTGTCTTGTGGCCTGAGTTTATTTCCCGTGAAACAAAGGTGTGAAGAAGGGGGGTGAAGCAAAAGGAGAGGTTGGTGCACACCCAAAGCTCACCCTGACATATCGGAGACATGTGTCTGGACTTGGGACTACTGTGGAGGCACTCCTGGGTTCTCGGGTTTAGACATACCCCCGGAGATTCTTTGAGTTTGCTTGCAGCTGCACGTAACAGGAAGGTATCGTCAGTGCTGGCAGGGAAAGTACAGTCTAGTGCCACCTCCAGCACTATCACCTAAACTCTGCTGGCTGTGTAGGGAGTTTGAGCTGTTGGGGGAATGTGGAAGGATACTCGCCTGTGACAGTGGAGTGGTCGTGTCAGAAGGAACCCAGTTAGTCCACGCAACTGCCCACAATTTTATAAGCATCCTGCCTGCATTCAAGCTGGGTGCAATTCCACGCTTGTGGAAATGCTCTAGGAACAGCAGAACTATACTGTGTTTTACAGGCCAAAATCGCACGTCTCGGAAGGCGGGGTATATAGAAGCACTTGGCAGTTATCATCATCTAGAATAACATTTATCTGCTGTATTTGGGCAGCCCTAGCACAAATGTGTCCCCGACTACTTTGTCCTGCAAGACTGGAATCTGCCAGGTACTGTATACTCAGGCCACAATCTACCAAACAGCTTAAATGGGTGCTTAATTGCAAGCAAGGAGTCCAAAGCTTAAAGCTAAACACAGGGAGAGGCATGCTATTTGAACTGAGGGCAAAAAAAGCTCAGCACTTCGCAAAGTCAACCCTTGGCAAAATTGAACCTTAATTTCTTGAAGTCCCATAATTGTTCATGTGTCTTTGAGGCTTGAGTTTGGAAATGAGGGTGACTGTTACTTCAAGGTGTATGACTCAGGTCCTGAGTAACCAGAACAAAATCAGAGATGGGAGAATTAGAAGCACAAGGGATACTGTGGGGGAGGAAGCAGACGACTGAGTAAGACGGTTCCCTGGGGTGAACTCCTTGCCATACTACCTGCAGATGCCTGTAACTCATGCCACGGCATCCTTTTCGTTGCCAGCTTTATTACCAGATGATCTAAGTGTGATTTATGAAGCACCTGGGGACAAGAATTACATGGGATCCCAGCCTGGGCTCCTTCCCTCCTGTTGTAATGACTGTATCTCTTACTGGGGTGGGGGCAGAGCAGGTGTGGGATTACGGGCGGATTTTGGTGAGGTTAAGAGAAACAACAGCCTATAAAATATTCTCCTGTCATGACACTTTTCAGGGTCTGTAAAAACGTGACAGATTGTGATGGTTGCTTCTCATATTGTGTACTCCATGGTGCATTTTGCATATATGCTTTATGTGCCCAAGTTCATGCCTACAAAGTGGCTCTTAACAAAGTATTTTCCAATGCTAGCATTGCCATATATATATATATATATATATATATATATATATATATATAGCATATGAAATTCTGACAACCAGCTTGGATCTGAGCAAGATTCTGTGTCCTTACAAGGCACAAGAGACAATTCCTGGCACGAGGAGCTTAGATTAAACAGTCAAAACACCCAGGATTGTTTCAGAATACCCTGGATATCAGCGATACGTTTATTTGAATGATGTATGAACTCTTGGCAGATTATTTTTATTGACTGCCACCTATCTAGCACAAGGTGGCATGATGACTGCACGGCTTTTAATGACCTCATGTCAATAGTGTGTTGCAGTTTGAGCTAAAAAGGAGACATGAGACTAGTAAGCATGAATTGTAGTTAACATTTGACTGCTGGAGGGAGGTGTGGTGAGAATCTGAGTGGCAGCCTCTGATTCTGCACTGAGAATGCTGCTGAACAGCCTTAATCCATTTTGGAAGCAGATGGGGTGACTCTTTGAAGGCCTCTCTTGGCCACCTGAAAGCACCCACATAAGTCACTAATGAGGAACGACGGTTCAATGTGCTTTCAGTATCTATATGGATGATCAAAACTACTGAAATACTCCTCACCCAGCCCTACCACTAACCCTACAACAACTCATCTACAGACACAGTAAATCTGCCAGCACTTAAATGAAGAGCAGGGCTCCTTTCTGCGTGGTACGTTAATGTCCAAATAAATGGCACAGTCCTGAAGCAGAGATCCCTGCGTGTAATTGTAAGACCTGCTTCACACAGGACAGACTACTACTGATCGTACTGGTCTTTCCCAGGCTTAACAGCTATGAACTCTCCCCTCATTTCACATGGAACCAGCATCGTTAGTAGTTTGTTAGATTTCAGAATCTCCCATGGGATCCTACTTGGCTGCTGAGTACAAGTCATTCTGTAATTGCTTTTGGAATAGCTTATCATACTGTTTTCTCAGCTGCCAATAAAAGCTTGCTTCACTTCTCCCAAGACTCATCTTTCACAAGGAGTTTTACCTCTACCCATCTCCAACTGCTAGGATAGAAACCACTTTTTTTTTAATTTTTGCTCTTGTAGGTTTCTAAAGAAATCTTCCTTTTTATCTTCACCCTAGAACTCAGTCCTCACAGCTAATTTGAGCCAGCTACCTCTATTTCTGGCTGGTGTTCTGCTTTTCCTGAATCTCAGGGCAGAAGCTGGTGTCAGTTGCAGGTGTCTGAAAACCTGTCTGGAAGTTGCGTTACTGTGGAGCAGGTGAAAATCTGAGGAGCACCTTGGAGATCAGAAGATGAACTCACACAGTTAAAAGACAGGTGACCCAGTCTAAATGGGATGACAGCTTTATCTTTAGCAGGCGGTGGGGCACAATAAAAGGATAAGGGAGGTGTGGGAAGAGATTCATACTAAGTAAATTACAACTCCTATCAGCCTAGCTGGAATTCAGCATGTGGGAGAGCAAGGACTGCTGCTGTCATCGCTGCCCTTGGATTTATTTTTTTTTTTGAGGGCAAGTAAACAACTCTAAATTTCAGCCTGGCTTCTGTAGAAGCTTGCGTGGGTGTCCCAGTAGTGTTTGGTAAACAGGTTACAGCAGGAGCTGCAAGGAAAATAAGGTTTTTTTCCAAATAAATGAGTTTAACTTAATGAAGACTCAAAATTAATATGTGTTGGGAAGTTACCCCAGGAGTCTCATTATCCCTAATTGGATGTTTTATTTCATGAAGTAGTCAGCGTTAACTTTTAGCCTGGTGAGGGAAAAGATCTCATATTTAATTGCCCCCCAAACTGTCCTTTATTCCTGGGAACACTTGGCAGGATTGTGAATATCTCTAGCGGCCAAGCTGTCAAACAAGCTTTCCCTTTTCAAAGGACATTTTTTTTTTTATTATTTTTTTTTTTTCTCCCCTCACTATTCAGGACCAGTTTTGATTCTCTCTCCCACTCACCACCTCCTACTTCATAGGCAGCACCGGTCCCAACAAGCCCTCCAGCAGACTGAAAGCCACGGCTGCTTTCTGCCTGGGTGACTTCCCGTCTTGAGGGCCCTGTGCCCAAATTTACACCAGCAGAAATCAGTGTAACTCAGGTTTAATATAGCTCAAAGCAGAGCTAATTTTGTGCTGGAACAGTCTGGAATGGTGTACCAAACTCTGGTTTTGGCCATATGTACTAGTGTTTCACACTCCTTCCACAAAAAAAAAATAAGCTTTGGCTCATAGTATTATCTATTTTTACCTCATTTTTAACCTATTCTAGAATTACATTGGCTAAGCAAAACCACCTTTTTTTTTCTTTCTCATTTGATCCATCTAAAATTGCTATCCAACGTAAGTGAGCAGGTGAGGCACCTCTCTCAACAAGCAGGGAAATAAAGATTTGTTTTTAAATAGTAGCAAGAAATGGATGATTTATCAGAGGCATTTAAAAATGTTAATGGTGTAAAGACAGCTTGACAAATAAGGGATGATTATTCTCATCTCCACAGGCCAAAGTACAGCTGTGGCATCCTTCCAAGCAGCGCTCAAGATGTTTGATTTCTATTTTAGTTGATATTTGACAGAAAGGATTTTATTTTTGCATTATCTAGGGGAAGTGGAAATGAGTATTTGTTCTGTCCTTTTTTCTACTTGCTCTCCTTGGTAATCCTCCTCCCTTTTTATTAGTTCTGTTTGCAATGTTTTATTTACACATGGTCAGACACCTGAGAGCATTCAGGAGTTACAAATCTCCTGTAGTCAGTATTTTTCATTATTTTAAGGTGTGGTATCCCAAACACTGACCAACTGAACATTTGATGTTTAGTGTCTGGAATGTATAAATAAGAACACAGCTCAAGAGGACTGTAGCCAGACTGAAACTGAAACACATACTTGGGCTTCTCACATGAGGTTCTCTACAGCTCAACTTCCAAGTTCCAAAGTGATCCCCTAGTTCATTAAAAGTAAGGTAGGAACACCAGGAGTTAAGAAATCACCATAGTATGTTAGAAGAAAAGGCTTTGCACCAGAGGAATCCCAGGCCTGAATTTCACTTAACTAGGAATAAGAGTAGCATCCCTCGTTCCCTCCCCTGGCCATGTATTCGCTTGTCAATTGCTTCAATGAGCTCATCTGTCAGAAAACAAAACCACCAGAAAAACGTTCCATTGTACCTGTTTGTTCACCTGGTTCATTCTGCAGTCTCACCATCACTAGACCTCACATATGGGCGAGCAAGATGAAAATACCTGGATGGAGAGAGATGGAGAAGATTGAACTTTTCAGCATTAGCCCACAGTCATACTGAATTAGTTGTAACACAAAACTGCATTCTAAAGGCATGGTTCCATACAATGAGGCTAGGTTTCACTAGCTAACCCACAAGGAAATGAACACCCCCTCCCGAATCAAATATTCCTCAGTCTTGTTATTGAGTTGAAGTGGCTCACGGAA